TCTTCTGGGGCATGTGCCCCACACTGGGACCACTGTTCTAGACTGATTTTACTCTTTGACTCTGTGCCTCTAGCTCAGAAAACTGGGCAAAGTACTTAGATCAGCGGTTCTCAACCTGTGGGTCGCGACCCCTTTGGGGGTTGAACGACCCTTTCACAGGGGTTGCCTAAGACCATCGGAAAACAGATATAATTACATATTGTTTTTGTGATTAATCACTATGCTTTAATTATGTTCTATTTGTAACAATGAAATTGGGGGTCACCGCAACATGAGGAACTGTATTAAAGGGTCACGGCATTAGGAAGGTTGAGAACCACTGACTTAGATGATGTTAGAAATGTGGTAGGATTTTTTTTGTTGTCATAGTAACTGGGGTTGCTGCTAGCATTTAGTAATCTGGGACCAGCGCTGTTAAATATCCAGTGGTAATAAATGGGGCAGTGCTATCCAGTGCAGAATTGACCCACCCAAAATGCTGAGTGCACTTGTTGAGAAACACTGACTAACCTGGTTCATGGGAGGCAAATTCTGGTATTTTTAAATCCAGGATTACTAACCTTTGCTTAGTTGCTTCAAATCTCTTCTGCTTATTTTTTCTATGAGATTTAGGTACTAATTTAAATACTTATTCTATTGACCTGAGTATGTTATTACATCGTAGTGTTTGTCTTTTTGAGAACGGGGTCAGGGTTTCCAGGTTTTTTATTAATTTTGTATTGCGGTACACTCTGTCAGTCACAGACACTGTCCAGTGTTGTGGTGTATGTGACATTCGATTTCCACGTAGTTCTCTGGCCTGGGTGATTCTACAGAAATGCATCCCCTACCTGTGTCTCATTTCCTCTCCATTCTAGGTAGTTCTTGGCAAGTCATCTACTTTTCTAACTTCTGTGCCTTTTTCTAATCCCATTGGAAATATAAAGGATCCACTCCACACTATTGTTAGGCCCATGGGATATTGGGAAGGATGGATGTTCTTGGGTCTTCCTGTTTAACTGCATTATGCTGCCCCCTACCTTAGTTTTTTAACAAGATGTCTTTGTGGGATTCTTTTGTGTTCTTTTTCTTTTCTTCATTTTTGCTTGTGGTTATTTTGCCAAAGCACAAGCCCTCTCTGTACTTCTAAAAGTTCCCGACTGCATTAGTTTCCTAAGGTTGCTGTGCAGGATACCACTAACTGTGTGTCTCAACAACAGAAATTTATTGTGTTACAATTCCATTGGGAAGAAGTCTGACATTGAGGTAATGACAGAGTTAGTTCCTTCTGAGGGCTGTGAGGGAAGGATCTGTTCCATGTGTTTCTCCTTGACTTGTAGATAGCTGTCTTTATATTCATGTTATTTTCTCTGTATATATGTATTGTGTCCAACTTTTTCCTATTATAAGGTCACTAGTTGTAATGGATTAGGAGCCCACCCTAATCACCTCATTTTAACTTGATTACCTCTGTAAAGACCCTGTCTCCAAATGAGGTCCTTTCTGAAGAATTGGGGGTTAAGACTTCAACATATGTATTTGGTGCAGATACAATGCAACTTGTAACATCAACTTAATATTATTTTTTCTTCCATGTTTTTAAATACAGAAAAAATCTCAAAATAAATATCCCAATCTAACATCTAAAAATTACATAAAATATAAAAAGAGAAAGAAAAAGACCCTATTTCTATCCAACTCTCATATTCCAACTTATTTTACTTTACTTTTCCATGTCAGTTGGTTCAAACAGAACTATCTCATTCTTTTTCCAGCCTGAATAGTACAAACAGAATTATCTCATTCTTTTTTATAGGCTGAATTCCATTTTATGATTATACTCAGTTTAATTGTTCCAGTACAGTTTGGGTTATTTATAACTTTTGTTTATTACAAGCTGTCCATAGATAATTTTTGTGTACATATCTTTACACATGTAGAAGTACTTAGTAGGACATATTTTTAAAATTGCATGTGTTGGGTCAAAAGGAATGAACACTTAAAAATTTTAAAGATACTGTTAAATTAACTTACCAATTTATACTATCATTAGCAGGATATGAGAGAAAGTTTATCTTTTCTTTGTACCCTCACCACCATTGGATAATACCAGGTTTTTTAAAAAAATCTTTGCTTGTACGATAGGAAAAAAAATATGTCATTTAAAAATATTTTATTGTCATGAGTGATATTTAATATATCTATATCTATTGACCATATTTTTCTGTGAATTTACTTGTGTGAGTTCTTTGCATCTTTTTCCTTGAAGGTATGTGTATTTTATATTAGTTTATTGAAGCTTTGAATATATAATGTTTCTTAGCTCTTTGTTATATATGGCACAAATATTTTATTCAGTCTTATTTTATTCTTTTTGATGCTATTATAAATGGATTTGTTTTCATAATTTCCTTTTCAGATTGTTCATTATTGGTGTATAGAAACGCAACTGATTTTTGTGTTTTGACTTTGTATCCTGCAACTTTGCTGAATTCATTTATTAGTTCTAACAGTGTTTTTGTTTGTTTGTTTGTTTTTTGGTGTGCGTGTGTGTGTGTGTGTGTGTGTGTGTGTGTGATCTTTAGGGTTTCCTACATAAAAGCTCATATCATCTGCAAATAGATAATTTTACTTCTTGTCCAATTCTATGCCTTTATTTATTTTTTGTTGCCTAATTACTTTGGCTAGAACTTCAGTATTATGTTGAATAAAAGACGTGAAAGCAGGCATACTTGGCTTGTTCTTGATCTTAGAGGAAAAGGCTTTCAGTATTTCACCATTGAGTATGATGTTTGCTGTGGCTTTTTCATATGTGGACTTTATTATATTGTGGTATTTTCCTTCTATTTCTAGTTTTTTGAGTGTTTTTGTTATTAAGAATGTTGAATTTTTTTAAATGCCTTTTCTACATCAATTGAGATGGTCATGTAGGTTTTTCCCCCTTCATCTGTTAATGTATGTTATGTTGATTGATTTTTGTATGTTGAACCATCCCAAATTTATTCTTGCTCCCCTCCATTTCTTCTCTATACTGTAGCAATACAGATATAGTCATGTCTTTATCTGATTAAAATATTTAAGTGATTGCCCATTGCTGTAGTAAAAAGACCAAAATTATTCATACAACCTATAGAACCTTTGCTTGGTCTGGCCTTCTCTTACTCCATGCAGCCCCTAATTCTCAGGTCTCTAGCCACATTAACTTGTTTTTACTTCCTTGATGGATCCATGCTTCTTCCCCTAATGGAACCTGTGCACATACAATTTCCTCTGCTTATTATTGTTTCACTTCTTAGTAACATTTTATGCATAGAAAACTTGTATCCATACTTCAAATTTTATCTCTGTCATTTCCTAAATAAAACCTTCCCTGACCCTGCCAATCCGGTAAGCCTAGATTACATGTTCTTTTTTTCTTTTTTTTTTATGCACTTTTTTGCAGAAAGTAATTTTACATGAACTTTGTTTGATTTTAGATTATAACCTCCATAGACCGTTAATTCCACAAAGGCAAGGACTATGTCTGTTTGTTCACTGCCACACCCAGTGGGGTAGCATGGTGCCTAGCACGTCAGGGCTCAAATATTTGTGGAGTAAATGAATAAATTGTGTCTTGGTTTTACCTCTTGATTAGAAAGGTAATTAAAGGATTTAAGGAAGGTAAACATAATTAAATTTACTTTTTAAAAAGTTCTCTGTCATTTCACATTTGGGTGAAAGATGAATTGGAAAGATGTATCAGAAGATTAGAAAGACAGATAGTTGATATGATGATATTCTAGGCTTCAGATAATAAAGGCCTGAAAAAAGGCAGCAGCATTAGTGATGGAGAGGAAGAGTGGGGAGAACTGTTTAAGAGGGAAAACCAACAGGACCTAGTGACTGACTGGATGTGGTCATGATGAGGGAGAAGGAAAAGTCAAGTCTCAAATTAAAATGAAATACATGAATTAGTATGAGGCAATATATCACATAGTGGTTAAGAACAGAGCCTGTAGAAACTTATGTAACTTACTAGCTATACGACTGAGCATTTGTTGATTTAACTCTGTTAATTATAAATGTCTTCATAGAATTTTCAAGGTTAAATGAGATAATAGATGTAGAGTTCCTAGTATTTATACAGTTTGTGGTGAACTTGAGCAAGTCATTTAACCATCCAAACTTAGTTTCTTTTGAGAGAAAATAATATATCCCCTGTTCTTCCTACATCTCAGAATTACTTTGAAAATATAAAGCCTCTGAAAACTGTAAATTGGTAGTCATAGTAGCTAGATATTAATAACACCTAGAAAGAGAGGAGATGATCTCTCTTATACTGTCTTTGATATGACTTCATTTCTTGGTTCATCTTTGTAAGCTATAGGTACATATTGGCCATAAAAACTGGATTAGTAGAATTTACTGAGAACAGCTTTATGCTTGTATAAAGCTTTCTGGGATAAGTTACTAGTGAGTTCTGAAGAAAATAAATCTTCACAGGGAGCTAAGGAGATTCTTTTGCCTGGTGTGGAAGGGAAAAAGATGATTATCAAGAATCAAGCCTAGAAGGTGAAATAAGGTGCTAGTGAAAATAAGGTGCTTGGTATGATTATTATTCCTCACATAAAGGTAGTAAAAAACAGAAGTTAAAACTCAGAATTCCCAGTCTTTGTTTATTTCATCCTGCTATGTTACCTTTCCAAATAGAAATAGCAGATGTAACTATCTATAAATGCCTATGTTACTTGATATTGTGTGTAGGAATTTTGCCTAAGGGCAGCTCAGATTCTCTCCTCCATCCCCCCATGTGTATTTGCTGATCTTGGCTAAGATTTTTATTTTTAGCCAAAATTCACTTTCCTTATTGCTGGCAGACATGTAATCTCACACTCTTGCTTTTGAATTGGGTCTTGTGCTCAAATGCATTTTCCTTTAATGTTTTTAGTGTTTTAATAAGGTTTTCTATCAGTCAGTGTTTGTCAGTACTGGTTTACTTCTATTGTGATCCTAAGTAAATTTATTATGTTCTTTTCCTGCAGGTTTTCTGTGCTTCCTGCTGTAGCCTGAAATGTAAATTGTTATACATGGATAGAAAGGAAGCTAGAGTATGTGTAATCTGCCACTCAGTGCTAATGAATGGTAAGTATTAAAACAGGTTGAATTCACAGTTATTGAGATCAAGAGAATTTCCTGCCTTTCTCTACAAGTTGTTTAGCTTCTGAAATGTCATAACTTCAATTGAAAATATTTAGCTAAATTTCCATGTTTTAAAAATATTTTAGCATTTCAGAATACCTGTGCCTAATGTAATGAATGAATGCTAAAGTCAGGTAAGTTTTGCAGAAAGAATGGAAGTTCTTGTGGAAATCTGGTGCTATATGGCTGTTAATGTTCTGTGAAATGATTGGAGTGGGATGGGCGTAGGGGACTCTTGACCACTTAGATGATGAAATATTAAAATTGAACTGAGGTTTTCCTTTCAAGGGAAGCTATCTCTTTCTAGGAAATACCTTAATAACTTAGAATATATTCTTATTAACATCTTGTTTCATTCACCTTGTTAAAAATAAACATTTTAGCATCTGGGATCAAATAGAAAATTGCATTTCTCTATTATCTCCTTAATACTACTTAGATTTGTTATAAGGATAATGATTTTGAATTTAGTTATGTGGTAAATATATATATGTGTGTGTATGTATATATATGTGTGTGTGTGTGTATCCATCCATCCAGGAGAAGATAAATATAGCTTATCCAGTGTTCCTCTGTTGCAGAATTGGAAATGAACCCAAGGCATTTTAGTTAAACAAACAAAAGCCACCAGAGTATTCTCTTAAAGAGATATATAATTGAGTAGGCTGTAGTATTTTCCTCTTTGAGTGCATCTTTGTACAGTTGTCAAAACAATTACTAATAGACGTAAAATGTTGAACTTGGATACCACTGGTGCCTGTACCAGGGTAGTGTGCCTCCTGGAAGCTGAAACTTACCTGCTCGAGGCCCCTCTTGCTCTGTCTGTCTGTGTTGCTCATAGTGATGTTTCCCTGTTGCTGGCTTATTAACCTATTGCATGTCAGTTAATCTGATCTGTTCTAATCTCCTATGAGCCACCCAATTTCCTTCCATTTCTGAATTCTTATAATTTTGATCAAATATGAACTCATTCTCTTTACTCTTAAAGGTCATTTTTTAGATGGTTATTTCACTCTGTTGCTCAATTGGTAATTTTTATTCCTACTTTCATTTTCAGACATATATCCACAGTTAAGGGCATGCTGCTTAATTACAGTACCCAATACCACTTTTATTTGATGAGGTCTTTCAACTTGATAGCTTTTTTTTTTTTTTTTTTTTTTTTTTTAAACTTGGCAAAGCTAAAGATGAAGGAAATGTCAGAGGATTCATATGGACTACTTACATTTTATTAAGCAAAGATGCCCTTAATGGGATCCTAAAGTAATTTACTTTTCTTGGTTTTTCCAGTGTCTTTTCTCTCGCATGGCTTAGCCCAGTCTTTTACGGAATATTTAATTTGATGCTTTTCAGTGTTCCCTGTCTCTTTTTCTTTTTCTCTTCCCTTCTTTCTGCCAATGCTTTCAAAGGAACATAGCTGTTGTTTCCAGCTTTGTCCTGCAGTTTGGAGGCAATAAATATTCAGAATCTTATGGATCATTCTTGGACATTGAATGAGATTTTTAAAAAAGATGTTCAAAAAATTGGGTGGTGTCTATTCTTGGGCATGTGATATTACCTGAACCTGGAATATAAAATTTAAAAGCTTTCATTTATGTAGCATCTTTGATCCTATTTTCTTTAAAGACAGTAGTTGATATGACAGTATTTAGTTAAATTATAGACTAACAAAATATAGTACTTTAACATACTATGAGCATTTATATTTATTGATGGCACATTTTCATGTTCAAATGGGTCCTATGCTTTTGAGACACACCAAAGATGTGAAATGGTTGTTTTTGCTGGATACTTTTACTTAGTGTGATCATTGCACAAAAGCAGAATCCACAAAAGTGTTGAGATGCATTCTTCTGAGCTTTAGGCTTCAGAATTTTTTAAATGAGATTTTACCTTAACTAAGAGAAGAACCTAAAAGTCTAGAAATGACGAAGAAAATATTATACAATGGAGTCATGTTATTTTAGCCCCTGATTTTTAGTTTTGCTAGAACTTTATAAAATGTATTGAACATTAAACCTTCCCACCCCACCTCCAAATGCCTAAGTACTATCCCAGTTGCAAATCCTTAATAAGTTTGATGTTGTTTCACTAAGGGAATGCGTGCTCTCCTTCACAGAAGTCAGGGGCCTAGTCATTAACTTCAGACTGACCTATCAGTCTGTATTAGAAGTATCATGTAATTCTTATTTCTTGCTTCCAAATAGTTTACTTAACTAAATGGTCTCCTTTATTGACTAAAATTACTTATCTCCTTAATACTATTTCACTAGCCAGCTAGAAGAGAGACATACTATGAGTGTTAATGAGGAGGAGCTACATTATTTATCCAATATTTGGAGGTCTTGATGTCCATATTTTGCAATCCATTCACATTGATTGTGTCTGTATTTGCTTTAGCTCAAGCCTGGGAGAACATGATGAGTGCCTCAAGCCAGAGCCCTAACCCTAACAATCCTGCTGAATACTGTTCTACTATCCCTCCCTTGCAGCAAGCTCAGGCCTCAGGAGCCCTGAGCTCTCCACCTCCCACTGTGATGGTACCTGTGGGAGTTTTAAAGCACCCTGGAGCAGAAGGTAGGGGATCATGTGCTGTTCTCTCTTTTTCCTCACCAAGTTCCTCTGAAAAGGTGCTGATGTGATTTTACAGCACAAGTCTTTAAAACACTACAGATAAGTCCCTTTGGATGGTTATTAAAGTGGAAGAACAAGGTGAGAAATGTGTTGAGACTATTTCCGGGCAAGTAAAGAATAATGTGTTGCCTGATACTTTGGAGGCATCTCTAAAAATATGCCAGTGTTCTCTTTAACTTTAGAATGGAGCAATTACACTGCTTATATTTGAAAAGAGATGCAGATTTTGAAGTCTGCCTGCAAAATCCTAACTTCATGCCTACTTTAATGTTCTTTTATAGGAGTTCACTAAGTGATGAAAATGAGAGTTCGTCCTTCTGACCAGCCCATTGCTTTTTGACACATACAGAGCCATTTTCTCTTCATTTTTAATCTATTCATATAAAAATATGGAAATATTGTGTTAGGTACATAGATCTTTATAAAATTCAGAACTTCAATTCTGATTATATCATATGGTAGATAGGAAATTATAGGCTCAACTTATTTTAATTATATCTCTATGACTATGATATTGTCAGATGAAAGGCACTTTGTACGTTCAGGGGATTATCAGTAGTAAAAGTAACAATTACATAATTCCTTAAAATGATCTTGTTAGGAAGTTTCCCTTGATAATTAAAATCAATCTTCTTGCATTAATTTTATATCTTTTTGTATAGTAGTATTCCCTTCCCCTTGCTTAATAGCCCTTCTCCCCTTTTGAAGATCAAAGTCTTCTATTGACATTATCATACTCTTCCCCATTTTCCCCTTTCTTTGGATTATCGCTTAATGATATTCTGTATTTTTATGAGTTCAGGTTTTCTTTCTTAAAATCTTTATTCTCTTTACTTCATTTGTCATTTTTGTTGTTCTTCCCTAATCTCTCTTTGTTTTGGCTCTTTGAATTGATTTCCAAAACTGGATTTAAAAATATTATTTCATCAGATTCAGTTTTCCAGCTTTCTCCTGTCCTTTTACTAAAATGCCAACTACTTTTTCACTGCCAGATAAGTCTTTTTCTCCTTCAGTTACACTTTAGCCAAAGTTCTGGTCAGTTTGCTTCCCAATTCTTATATGTCTGAGCCAATTCTTCCTTTTTAATTAATAATTCTTCAAGATTCTTCAGGGTGTCTTTTGCCCTTTAAAAATACCATAGCACTTTTCCAGATATTTAATTCCTATGGAACCTCATATTTTTAGGAGATGTGGATGTCTACTGCTAGATATTTTCCCCCTACTATTTATTTCCTAGGTACTTAAAACACTTTAGTTTCTCTTTTAGTGTCATGGGACAGAGTATGTGATATCATCATAGGTGTATTTAAGAATTCTTCATATTTTAAACCAAAGTGTTTTAAATCTTTGCATATAAGTTATAGAAGTAATATATACTTAAATGTGTATTTTATTAATTTATAACCACTTTTACACACAGTTACAGTTCTGATGTTTCTAATTAGAAGATGCTAAATAGTGATTTTTTTTTTTTTTTTTTTTTACATCTGGAATTGGTGACCTTCTCTTCTTTGATGTTAGAAACCCTACCGATGTCACATTGATGCCCCTTTTATTTTTCTGGTTCCTTAAGTGGCTCAGCCCAGAGAACAGAGGCGAGTTTGGTTTGCTGATGGGATCTTGCCTAATGGAGAAGTTGCTGATGCAGCCAAATTAACAATGAATGGAACTTCCTCTGCAGGAACCCTGGCTGTGTCACATGACCCAGTCAAGCCAGTAACTACCAGTCCTCTACCAGCAGAGGTAAGAAAGCAAAATGGTAACTAAAAGTGAGTGCTTACTTTCCTTAGCATGTGCTGCCTCGGTCTTGCTTGTTTCTAAGTTGAGTGACCTTTCTATGGAACCCTGTAAGTTTGGATACAGTCTACTAGTAATGCATGTGTGCGTTTTATAGGGGTACAGTATATGTGGCAAAATCAGTTCTTATTCTATATTTGCAAGTTTTTTCAGGAGAAAGATTCTTATGAAGGTTGTTCTCAGGTGAGCTCAGGCTACTGCTATAGCTAGAAGTTGTGCTAGAAGGAATCCTGGCTCTTTGATACATTGCTTTTTAACCAGTTAACTGCCGCGATATTTTGAATTTAATTAAAAAAGGTCCGCCACTTGTGTCTATAGATGCTTATGGCAGTTAACTGTTAAACCATGTTCCCCAGGTTCTGTGGTAGCCTCTCTGGAGTACAGTGGTGAGGGAGAGCCAAGCAATACGAAGGAAGCTGGAGGAAGATATTTCTTTCTCTCAATCCAACTATCTCCACTTTTTTCTTTTCTCCCTGTTGTATTTCCCTGGAAGATGCTTAAAAAGGGTCCCAAAGCTTAAAAATTAATTGAAAACCACTGACTTAATGGTTGGAAGACTCATTATTTACCTAAGGAAGCTAGCTTATATTGTGTTGCCACCTCCACTGTGTCTCTCTAGGATATTCTAGTCACAGTTTTGGGGCTAATGGAATTCTCTTTCCTTGGAACCTAATTTTCAGAAGGGGACAAATACTAGCTACTTTTTCTGGACTCAGTGAGGAAACAAGAGTCACCTCGGGTCAAAATGAGCAAGTATACTTTTATATAGTGGTAGCCTTTCTATTGCTCATTGCCTCCTTGAATTTGGTCATCAAAGCTATAATAAGGCTTATGTTAATTCCACCTAAGTATATGTGTCCATTTAAAAAAAATAAAATAAGAGGATCAAATTTAGATAAAGTTTTTATTCTTGAAGTTTTCATAGAGTTGTTAGTTACTATTTATATTTATGATCAGTGATTTTTTCAGGGATTTACATGATTTATGGATTTTATTTTAGCTGAAATTGCATGTTATTAATATTAGATTTATTGACATACAGAGCTAAATTTCCTGTTTGGTGAAGGAACATTAAACCAGGCCACATCTGTCTTCAAATATTTCTAAGTCCCCCCCCACTAAGGCTTCAAAGGGCAACAGCCAGAACTATCTTATTCTTCCCTGAATCTTCATAGTCACTTTGTCAAGAAGGTTCCTTCTTTTTCCTTCACTTGTTTGTTTGAAAAATTTTCAAACTCACAGAAAAGTTGCAAGAATAGTACAGTGAATACTCATATACTCTTCACGTATATTTACCAATTGTTCACACTTTGCCATATTTGCTTTACCCCTACACACACACACACACACACACACACACACACACACACACACAGTTATTTTTTTGATGAGCCATTTGAGGATTAGTTGTACTTCATTGCATAAGAACAAGCTATTTTCTTTCATAAGCACAATACAATTATATGAGAAAGAAATTTCACATATAATTCTGTTATCTAATGTATCGTCCATATTCAGATTTGCTCAATTGTTCCAATAATGTTCTTCATAGATTTCATTTATACACATGTGCACATATATAAAATTTTTGTTATTAAAAAAAAATTAGGATCCCATCAAGGATCACAGTTGCATTTAGTTTTTGTGTTTTTTTGGTTTCCTTTACTTTAGAACAGTTATACCACTTGTTAAATTTTGCTTTTCATTTTACTGTGTTTAAGTAGACCACTGCAGTTCAAACCAGTGTTGTTCAATGGTCAAGTATATTTTCAATCCATGGTTGGGAATCCAAGTATGTGGAGGACTGATTTAAGTTATATGCAGATTTTTGGCTGTGCAGGTTGTGGATGCCCCTAACCTCTGCATTTTTCAAGGTCAACCATATTAATATTTTTGGAATATCTAGGCCATGGTTTGCATAAAGTCCTTAATTTGTATTTGTCTGATTTTTCCCCCCTCATGATTAATTTCAGATTAAACATTTTTGGCAATAATAATAATACCGCCTAAGTGACGATCATTTCTTAGTGAGACACATAAAGAAATAATCAGTTTGATAGTTGGTTAAATTGATATCTCCTGTGTTTCTCCACTGCAAAAGTAGCTATTCCTCTTTGCAGTTAATAAGTAATGTGAGGGTTGATACTTTGAGATTGTGAATGTCCTATTCCCCCAGCAATCTTTCCGCAAGTGATTTCACTGTCCTCTGACAATTCTTGCCTGAATCAATTATATCTATGATGTTTATGCAATTATGACTTTGTTTTCTATTAAAAATTTTTACATCTTTTAAATTGTATGATTGGTTCTTAAAACAGAGGTTTTTTTTTGTTGTTGTTGCTAATAGTTTTTTGGTGGAATCTTTATTGTTTTCTCTATATAGAATCATGTCATTTGTAAATAATTATAGTTTTATTTCTTACTTTCTAAGTTGGATGCCTTTTATTATTATTTTTTCTTGTCTAATTGCTCTGGTTAGCATAAATTTTTTTTAATGAATGAGGAAGCTCTAGTGGATAAATGTTATAGGGACGCAAGGTGTAGCTCAGTTTAAGAGAAACTGAACCAAGTTAGTTATTTTATTTCTGTGCTCTCACATTGTTCAACACTCTACTATAATATTTATCTGGTAAAATGAGGGAAAACAAATTCTCTAAGGCCAGACTGGAATATAGTTTTCTCATCTTTATGGCCTGTAGAGTTTCTGGCAGTTAATAGGTGCTCAGTAAATTAAATAAATGCCTTTTCACAGATGGTATTTAAGTAGAAGCCAAATGGTCACTTCTTACGACATTAAAAGGTGAATTAATGCATCATTAAGTAGCAAGTTAGAATATATTGCTTTATTTTCTGTACTATGCCTTGAAATCAGTCATAATGGTTTCCCACTAAATTATAGATAGTATAGATAAAAGTATGGCAAGATATTGACATATTTTTAAAAATATAAATTTAATAATTTCAGAGAGGAAGGGAGATAGAAAGATAGAAACATCAATGATCAGAGAATCATCGACTGGCTGCCTCCTGCACGCCCTCCACTGGGGATCAAGCCCGCAACCCGGGCATGTGCCATGACTGGGAATCGAACCATGTGCCGTGCTGCCATGTGCCATGCTGAGCCGTGCTGGCTGGGTGATATTGACATATTTTTAAAAGTAATTTAAATCTTTACTAAAGTTTAAAATATATATAGCAAAGTGCTTTAGGAGAATTAATCTTTGGGAAACAACTTGATGAGCATATAAATACAGGGTATCCCCCCAAAATGTATACACACTTTAACAGCTGATAGTTGTTAAATAAAAATGAAATGTATTTTAATAAACACTGCCTTTATAATTATTCAAAGCGTGTATATACATTTTTGGGGACACCCTATATCTATAATAATAAAAGCGTAATATACTATTAGACCGGATGTCCTTCCAGACGAAGCTGGGGCTATAAGGGAAGCCTGGGTCCCGGATGTCTGCCAGCAGCCAGGGGGAAGCCCGGGTCCTGGGTGCTAGAGGGAACCTGGTGCCGGCAGCTGGGGGAAAGAAGGCCTATGTGGGCTTCTAGTATACATATAAACACATACACACACACACACACACACACACACACACACACACACACACACACCCTGTTACCACCACTCAGGTGAAGATATAAAACATTTTCATCACTTAGAAGGTTCCCTCATACCCTTCTTTTGTCAATACCTCTTTATATTAAATTTCTTGTGCATCTTTTCCCGGAGAAAAGATGTATCATTATTCTGACTTGTATCACTGTGGATTGGTTTGACCTGTCTTGAATTTCATGTAAGTGGAAACATATAGTATATAATGTTTTGTGTGGGGTTAAATTGGCTTATTAAACTCAAAACTATTTTTTGTACAATTTATCCATGTTGTATGCATCAGAAGTTAATTTTTTTGTTGTTGTTGAGTAGTATTCCATCAATATGGATATATCACAATTTATCTATTTTCTTTTTAATGGACATTTGGATTATTTCCAGCCTTTGGTTATTGTGCATTGAATAAAAGCTGCTATAAACATTCTTCTACATATTTAAAAAAAACAGTTTTAAAATGCTTTTTTAAACCTTATTTTTCTTTCTTTTTTCTATTTCTTTTTATTGATTTCAGAGAAGAAGGGAGGAGAGAGAGATAGAAACATCAGTGATGAGAGAGAATCATTGATCGGCTGCCTTCTGCACACCCCCTTCTGGGTTTTGAGCGTGCAACCCAGGCCTGTGCCCTTGGCCAGAATCGAACCTGGGACCCCTCAGTCCGCAGGCTGATGTTCTATACACTGAGCCAAGCCAGCTAGGGCTATTTTTCTTTCTTAAATGATGGAGAATATGGAGAGGAGAGCATCATTTTAATAGATCTTTGAGTGTGGTCTATTAAGTCGTTAATTGTGGATTTAATCCCACTCAAAATGTTTTGCAACATTATATTTTATTAAATACATCTAACACGATCATATTAATGCAAAGAAAAATGAAGTTTTATTTCATGGTATAGTAAATGAAAATGATGACCTATTTATTTATTTATTTTTAAATATATTTTTATTGATTTCAGAGAGGAAAGGAGAGAGGTAGAGAGATAGAAACATCATTGATGAGAGAGAATCATTGATTGGCTGCCTCCTGCACGTCCCCCACTGGGCGGGATCGAGCCTGCAACCTAGGCATGTGCCTCCAGCCGGAATCGAGCCTGGGACCCTTTAGTCTGCAGGCCAACGCTCTAACCACTGAGGCAAAGGGGCCAGGGCAATGATGACCTATTTTAATCTCTGTATGTTATCAAAGTTAAATTTTTTTTATTGTGGTAAAATATATATAATATAAAATTTACCGTCTTAACCATTTTTAAGTGCATAGCCCATGGCATTAAGTACTTTCATATTGTTGTACAACCATCACCACTATTTTCAAAGGTATTTTGAAAAAGCAGTATAAATGAGACTTTAATAAACCAAATACATTAAAAGTTCAGAAATTATGAGGTAACATTGAAATTTTGTTTTCACACTGCAAGTTTTAAATATATGTGTGTATATATATATATGTGTGTATATATATATGTGTGTGTATATATATATATATATATATATATATATATTTTATGGCAAAAGAAACTTGGGTAAAGGAAGCTTTGCCTCTTCTCTCATTAGTATGATTTGATGATGCCAAAGGGAGAGACTGTACAATTGGAAACATTTTCATAGTATAAGCCCAGTGTTTTAGGAAACCATAGGTTAATGAGTATGAAAAAGTATGAATTCCATATTTTCAATTAAATTCTCACTTATATCCTTGATTATATTTTGCAAAGTCTTAAACATCTTTATAATGCTCACTTTGCTCATTTGCTTTTCCTAGACAGATATTTCTCTGTTCTCTGGGAATATTACTCAGGTTGGAAGTCCTGTTGGGAGTGCAATGAACCTTATTCCTGAAGATGGTCTTCCTCCCATTCTCATCTCTACTGGTGTAAAAGGAGGTTTGTGTACTTACATTTTGCCTTCTAATTAAGGGAAAGAGATAGAATTTGAGTGATAACCACCCCTTCTCTAACAAAAAAATCAACTACTCAATACCATGAAATTAATTGTTGCTGTTACTGGTTGTTTTAGAGTGGATATTTATGCTTTTATATGATAATGTTATTTCATTTATTGGAAGGATATATTTTTAATTTTAGTGTAAATGTAGTTCATTGGCAGTTTTTAAAAATATATGTGTATTTTAAGTATGTTTTTATTGATTTCAGAGAGAGGAGGGTAGAAGGAAAGAGAGGTGGAAACATCAATGATGAGAGAGAATCATTGACAGGCTTCCTTCTGCATTCCCCCTACTGGGGATCAAGCCTGTAACCTGGTATGTGCCCTGACCAGGAATCAAACAGGTGATCTCTTTCTGGTTCATGGGTGATGTTCCATCACTGAGCCACACCAGCTAGGCTGAAGATATTTTAAAGCATATAATACTCTGAAGTGTTTCTTGTGGTTCCAGGGTTGGCCCACCTGATACATCAGTACATTAATTTAACTTTTTGTTTTGAAGTATAATATACATTAAGAAATCTACAATAATGAAAGCGTAATATGCTAATTAGACTGGACAGCTGAACGACCTTCTGGACATCATTCTGGACGTCCTTCTGGATGAAGCCGTGATGGCAGGGGCCAAGGTAGAGGCGGTTAGGGGCGATCAGGCAGGCAAGTGGTTAGGGGTGATCAAGCAGGCAGGCAAGCAGTTAATCCTACCAGACCTGAGGCCCTGAACCTAACTGTCCCCTATACCTGGGCTCCTGAGCATTAAAGAGAAAAAACCAACATGATATAGAAAAATGTTAGTTACATGCAAACAAGTGGTTAGAATAAGATGGAACTTGGAGACATTGTAGAAAATAGGTCTACCTTTCATCTACCTTTCATCTAGCACCAATATTCCACCTTTGTGTGGAAATTACCGAAAAATCGGTACAGTGGTCTGGTAGGGTTAAGGGCATCAGGCAGGCAGGCAGAGGCAGTTAGGGGTGATCAGGCAGGCAGGCAGGTGAGCAGTTAGGAGCCAATGGTCCTGGATTGCTGGCAGTAGGACATCCCCCTAGGGGTCCCGGATTGCGAGAGGGTGCAGGCCAGGCTGAGGGGGAACCTCCCACCCCCTGCACGAATTTTTGCACCGGGCCTCTAGTGTACATATAATAAATGGAGAATGCTTAAATGGCAATTTTATTGTTAAAAATATTTTTAGTGAGTTCTGATAAGAAGTAAAATTATTATCCAATTTAAAGAATGCTTGTCTTTGCATGAACAAACTGACGAATTTCAGAGGGAAGGTGGGGTGGTGGGGTGGGTAGGAAGTGCTTAACCAGGGAATCTATATGCATATTATGGACACAGACAGTAGAGTAGTGAAGGCCTGGGAGGGGCGGGTGCAGGGTGGAAGGGGTTAATGGGAACAAACAAACGGGACATCTGTAATACTTTAAACAATTTTAAAAAATGCTTATCTTTTTGTGAAAGTTTCTTGTTGACATATCCAGATCAGCATTCAGTTAGTACAGTTTCAAAAGATGTTTTATCAATAATTTCTCCTCAATTTTTTCCTATTCTTTTACCTGGTCTCCTTGCCTTCAGTCTTTCTGTCCTTTATCTTCCACATCTAGCCTGTTATCTTTTTAAACAAAGATATTATCATATATTGCTTTTGCTTAGAAACAGTCAATGGGATTTTCAATCCCTTCAGTATAAATTGCCTATCTTAGCATACAGTGTTCCTTATAACCTTATCTCAACTTATCTTTCTAACTTTATTTCCAGCTACTGCCTCATGCATTCTACAGTTCACGTGCATGCTACAGTTTATTTACTGTCTTGAATAGTCTCTTTTCATACTTTCATGCCTTTTCTTCTGCTGTGGAAGAGTGGGAAGAGAATGGACTAAAGAGTTGGACAAATCTGAGCTTTGCTCTCAGTACTAATCCATTGTAGCTGTGTGATCCAGTGGGCAAATCATATATCCTCTCTGAATGTTTTTCCTACTCTTTAAAAAAAAACAACTAGTAATTACACCACCTTAATTTAAGAGTCATGAATATTAAGTCAGATTTCATACCTGAAAGTACTGAGCAAAAAAAACTGGTACAAAGGAGGCATGTAATTAATATTATTCTTTCCTTGCCTATAATACCCTTCTATAACCTAGAATCCTTGAAAAATTCCTCAACCTTTCAAAATCCAGATTAGTGGAAAACTCTCCTCTGAATCCTTACCTAGGCTGTCTCTGTAGTAGTGTTTTGGATCCTTACTGTTTTAGTACGAATTCTTGTAGACTGTTACTGCATTCTTTTCTTATTGTAAAGTAGATACTTTATAAGTCTGATTCTTTCACTTAGAAGATGAATTCCTTCAGTCTTTATTTTTGTTTGTATCTTTTTATTTTAAATATATTTTTATTTCAGAGAAGAAGGGAGAGGGAGAGAGAGAGAAACATCAATGATGAGAGAGAATCATTGATTGGCTGCCTCCTGCCCGCCCCACACGGGGGACTGAGCCCATAACCCGGGCATGTGCCCTGACCAGGAATCAAACCGTGACCTCCTGGTTCATAGGTTGATTCTCAACCACTGAGCCATGCTGGCCAGGTATGTTTGTGTCTTTTGCTGCTAGCATGGTGCTGTGCCTATAGTAGGCTCTCAGCAATGTTGGCTGAATGTATTGTACTAGCAGATCAACTGTGTTCTGATAGTTCAACAGTGAACTTTCACATAAAGTTAAGCATTCTTTTGTTTTGTATAATGCCTATGTTTCTTTACCAGGCAGGAACCCCTAAAAATATTTTGTTAGTAAAATTACTATGTAGTTGACAAATTTTTGCTATTTTCATAAATCTTAGATTAATAAGAAATTATATTGGTCTACTCTGTTGTTAAGATAAATAAGATTGCATTTTCATTAAAATGCACGTCCATTAACTCTAATTGTCAAAACCTCTCCTACTTGAAACTGGTTATCTCATATTTGCTTACTTAAACCACATTACTCTCTCTCTTCACCACAATTTGGCAATGTTATATTCCAGTGAATTAACTTCATAATTTTTTTTCTTTCTTTTAAGTCGCTTAGTATTTCTCTTTCTAATAAATATTTTCATTGATAGGGTAGACATTTCCCATACATCCAAAAACTAGTTTTTTGGTTTCTATTAGTCATTGGGAAATGGTGTTATTTTGTTCTACCTGGCTATATGCAATTTTCATGTTTTCAGTTTCTTTCCACTGTCTTTATATTCTACAGTGGTTATTACCCATGATTTTGACTTCAAACTGAGATGACTACCATCATTCAAAATGGGGTGGCTGAATATGACATAGTACTGTGCTTATAGGATTTAAATGGGAAGAGTTCTGTTCAGAGCCTCATGTATTAACTTGTTCATGTTCAGAATGTGATGTGTGATTTACTGGTGATTTTGGTGATATATGTACTGAACTCTTGATTTTTACATAAATGTATTCCTTCATGAAACCAATCACTTCAGATACTTTTGGTTTATTTTCTAGGTGCATTTTTTAAAGTTTAATTTTTTTTTTTAATTAAATCTTTATTGTTCAGATTATTACATTTGTTCCTCTTTTTTCCCCCCCATAACTCCCCTCCTCCCAGTTCCCGCCCCACCCTCCGCCCTCACTCCCCACCCACTGTCCTCATCCATAGGTGCACGATTTTTGTCCAGTCTCTTCCCGCATCTCCCACACCCCTTTCCCCCCCAAGAATAGTCAGTCCATTCCCTTTCTATGTCCCTGATTCTATTATAATCACCAGTTCATTCTGTTCATCAGATTATTTATTCACTTAATTCTTAGATTCACTTGTTGATAGATGCATATTTGTTGTTCATAATTTGTATCTTTACCTTTTTCTTCCTCTTCCTCTTCTTAAAGGATACCTTTCAGCATTTCATATAATCCTGGTTTGGTGGTGATGAACTCCTTTAGCTTTTCCTTATCTGTGAAGCTCTTTATCTGACCTTCAATTCTGAATGATAGCTTTGCTGGATAAAGTAATCTTGGTTGTAGGTTCTTGGTATTCATCACTTTGACTATTTCTTGCCACTCCCTTCTGGCCTGCAAAGTTTCTGTTGAGAAATCAGCTGACAGTCGTATGGGTATTCCCTTGTAGGCAACTGAGTTTCTTTCTCTTGCTGTTTTTAAGATTCTCTCTTTATCTTTTGCTCTTGGCATTTTAATTATGATGTGTCTTGGTGTGGTCCTCTTTGGATTCCTTTTGTTTGGGGTTCTCCGCGCTTCTTGGACCTGTAAGTCCATTTCTTTCACCAGGTGGGGGAAGTTTTCTGTCATTATTTCTTCAAATAGGTTTTCAATATCTTGGTCTCTCTCATCTTCTGGCACCCCTATAATTCTGATGTTGGTACGCTTGAAGCTGTCCCAGAGGCTCCTTACACTATCCTCGCATTTTTGGATTCTTTTTTCATTTTGCTTTTCCAGTTGGGTGTTTTTTGCTTCCTCGCATTTCAAATCATTGACTTGATTCTTGCGCTCCTCTGGTCTGCTGTCAGGAGTCTGTATAATATTCTTTATTTCAGTCAGTGTATGCTTAATTTCTAATTGGTTCCCCAATATAACATCGAGGGTCTCATTAGTTTTCTTGTAGATCTCATTAAGTTTATCAGCGGCTTCTAAACAGTTCTTGAGAGACCTTAAAAGTGTGGTTCTGAACTCTATATCTTCCATTGACAATTTTGTCCTGTTTCTTTGTCTCCGCATTTTGTTATGCTTCCTTGGTGCACCCCCTTGTGGTCTTTGTTCGCAGTCTTATAGTTAAACCTTGTTGTAGCTAATACCAGGGAGGGTTTGACCTCCAGGCCAAGTGGCTATGAGAATCAGCTGTGTCTGCAGTGAGAGAACTTCTGTCCTCTAGGGAGGTGCTAATCTAGCCTTTGCCTGAGGCTATCCGGCAAATGCCTCTGTGCAGGGCTTGGGCTGGGCGGGTCGCACAGGATCAACAGGGTGGGCTGGAGAGAGCAGTTATGGCGGCTCTCAGTCCTGTCCCCAGGGGCTCTGCCTCTCTGAGTCCCAGCACCCTCTGCAAAGCTCGGAGAGAAAGCTGCACTCGCTCTGACCTAAGCCAGACAGCCCCGCTTCTCCCGTTTGAGTCTGGGTCCCTAAAGACTCGCCCGGATCTGGAGCTCAGAGTCTGCGACTCCCTCCTGATTGAAAATGCCAACCGCGCCCTCCGCCGCCAGCCCACTCCGCGCACTCCGCACCTCAGAATTTGACTTCAGCACTGCGCCTCCTCTGAGTGTCCGTATGCGTTTCTCTTTCCTCCTAGTTGTAGGACTTCCACTCAGCCAGCGTTCCTGTGGTTCTGGGTGATGTCCCTTCCGTCTTTTAGTTTCACTTTTGAAATAGTTGTTCAAGGCAGCAAACTCCGGCGTTAACCTATGCCGCCATCTTGGTTCTCTCTAAAGTTTAATTTTTTAATGGTAAAAAATCTCAAACTACACTAAAGGGCATTGAGTAAAAAGTAGGATTCTCTTCTACCTCAACCGCTAGGCATCCTTTCCAAAAGTAACTAGTATGTTATCACTTTCTTATATATCATGGATTCTTTAAAATGTTGCTCTTAGAACATGTAATATGTGAAATTCTTATTATGATTGTTGGAGAACTTTTGTTAAATAAAAGAGTTGTTGCCAAAACCGATTTGGCTCAGTGGATAGAGCGTCAGCCTGTGGACTGAAAGGTCCCAGGTTCGATTCCGGTCAAGGGCATGTACCTGAATTGTGGGCACATCCCCAGTAGGAGATGTGCAGGAGGCAGCTGATCGATGTTTCTCTCTCATCGATGTTTCTAACTCTCTATCTCTCTCCCTTCCTCTCTGTAAAAAATCAATAATATATATATATATATTTTAAAAAGTTGTTTTTAGATTTGGCACAAATCATTTTGTGGAGCAATCTCTACATAGGATAACCATGTTGTCCTCCAAATTGGACTGGGTCACTTTTGAAAATGAAAGGGGGCACTGTTAATGATACTGAGATAGCAGGCACAAACCTCTATTCACTCTGCCTATCAACCAAATGCTCTCTCTTTCCTTTGCATAATCTGCTTGTTCCTCCATCAGATTTCTTTCTGTGTTTGTCCGGTTAGCCAGTCTCTTACATTGTTTTTTCCCTTTACAGACTATGCTGTGGAAGAGAAACCATCACAGATTTCAGTGATGCAACAGTTGGAGGATGGTGGCCCTGACCCACTTGTATTTGTTTTAAATGCGAATTTGTTGTCGATGGTTAAAATTGTAAATTGTAAGTTAGAAATTTGTTTTTCAAAATAAAAAGTGAGATGCTTTACTGACTCATAGATAATACATAAAGCTTTCAAATTTATTACAAATATTTTTATATAGAGCCACATCTTATTGACCTCTGGGTACTGAAGAAGTTGGTTTGTATAAAATAATATATCCCAGAAGACAATTATGGGACTAACAAATTCTTGCTTTTAGTCATAGGAATGAGATAGGTGAATTCTCTATGAAGGAAAGCCAAAGAAAACAATATACAGTGATATATTATAGAATTGTACCCCTGAAACCTATATAATTTTATTAACCAATTGTCACCCCAATAAATTAAATTTAAAAAATAAATAACTTGGTCAAAATTTCAATTTGTCATATCTAGTTTATAAATTGCACTTAGAAAATATCTAACCTAGAATTCTTTTTGTTGTTGTTAATCCTCACTCAAGGATATTTTTCCATTGATTTTTAGAGACAGTGGAAGGGAGGGGAAGACACATAGAGAAAAATAGATGTGAGAGAGACACATTGATTGGTTGCCTCCTGCACACGCACCAACCTGCTGGGGATTGAGTCTGTGTGCCTTGACCAGAATTGAACCTGGGACCCTTCAGTCCTCGGGCCAACGGTCTATCCATTGAGCCAAATCAGCCAAGGCTAACCTAGAATTCCTCTTATATATATATTTTTTTATTGATTTCAGAGAGAAAGGGAGAGAGAGAGAGATAGAAACATCAATGTGAGAATCATTGATTGGCTGCCTCCTGCACGCCCTCTACTGAGGATTGAGCCTGCAACCCGGGCATGTGCCCTTGACTGAAATCGAACCTGGGACCCTTCAGTCCCAGGCTGATGCTCTATCTATTGAGCCAGACCAGCTCACCATCTGTTTAGGTATATAAAGTAACAATTGCCAAAATGAAAGAAGGGATCTTTTGTTAGTTTGATTTACATTGTGGTATTTATAATTTTATTAGAATCCTTTTTCAATTCCTTTGGGGATCCCACTATGTTGGAGTACAAATGATAAAAGTGCCAAAGACTGAACATTATTTTTAACTACATTTTTAAGTATATATTGCTTATGCTATTAGGACTCTACAGAGCCTTATAGTGAAGAAGTGGAAGTAAGTAGTCCAGACAAGCCATCTTTTTCATTACTTTTTACAGCATGAAGCTAAGTAAAGTCATGTTGATGATCTAGGATTTTCTTGTAGAAAGGTCTATAATTAGAATAGCTAGAATCTTTTAGTCATAGATTAATGTACACATAAAAAATATATTTTAGGCCACAACCTGAATTCAAAGCTGTAATATTGGCTTTTGTTGTTGTTGTTTTAAGCCTTACATAAGTAATTCCTATGTTGAAGTGTGTGTTGTTGTTTTTTAAATAAAGATGGGGAAATAGATTTTTGATCATTATAGCTAAGGATGTGTAGATTGTATTTATTTTTAAAGGAACATTGTTTCTTTTGATAATTACACTATTTTAAATAATAGCAGTTAAAAGTTTTCCGTGTGTCTTTTTTCACTATTACTTCTTTTACTCCCCTTCCAATTGTTTTTCTAAGAGTTTGCCGAGAGCCAGAGGCATCGGTATATTTTATTTTCTACAGTAGTTCTTTGGCTCAATGCAGTACAAATCGCAGGTTGAATTATACAGACAGTATGATCTATTTTATTCTTTGCTGTATTATAACAGACTTTTGTGCATTTTTCAAAGGTTAAGAATTGAGAGAGATGTCTTTGTTATATTTTTATTCCATCTGTAGATGTGAACAGGAAGTGCTGGTGTTTCACAACCAAGGGAATGCATGCAGTGGGTCAGTCCGAGATCGTCATTCTTCTACAATGTCTGCCTGATGAAAAGTGTCTGCCGAAGGATATCTTTAACCATTTTGTACAGCTTTATCGCGATGCTCTGGCAGGTGGGAATCCTTATGATTTAATGTGCACCCTTTATAGGTGATAAAACTTAGACACAGATGCAAAATAATTGTGTTAAATTTGGAAGCCTGGCGTTGGACGTTGATATTTGTGGCAAGTTAGAACATGCTTTGATCTGAGGAATTATAAATTTTAGTACTTTACCTGGTGTGTTTGTTATTTTACAAAGGCTAGAATCAAAAGTTGTAAGAGAATCCATTGAGCTTAATGTAAGAATATTTTTCTTGGAGTAGCTTAGGGATCATGATATTGGTACCCAGTAGAAGAAAGCTTAATCATAGCTTATTACTTGTTTCTTCAGTTAATATTTTATATTCATAATGTAAAAGTACTCTACATTTAATTTTCAAGTTTCAAGAATCAAGCATGGATATCTTTATTATGGTTTCAAAATAAATTATAAAAATTATTTACTGTAACAATCTAAAAGTAAGTGCATAGCTATTAGAAACTGGAGAAGTAATCATATAGTAGTCATATTTTTAATTTTTGAGGAACCTCCATACTATTTTTCATAGTGACTACACCAATTTACATTCCCACCTACAGTGCATAAGGGTTCCTTTTTCTCCACATTTTCACCAATATTTGGTATTTTAAAATTGATTTTTTTAAAAAGCTGTTGTGTTGCCCTAACTGGTTTGGCTCAGTGGATAGGGCGTCAGCCTGCAGACTGAAGGGTCCCAGGTTCGATTCCGGTTAAGGGCATGCACCTTGGTTGCAGGCACATCCCCAGTGGAGTGTGTGCAGGAGGCTGCTGATCGATGATGTTTCTAGCTCTCTATCCTTCTCCCTTCCTCTCTGTAAAACATCAATAAAATATATCTAAAAAAAAATAAAAAGCTGTTGTAGGAATTCAGCAAGAAATTAACAGGGTTTAAGTTTAGTAATGACAATGGCAATAAAGAATGTTGAGGAGATATAAATGACAGTGATGCTTTAGTTCAATAGGATTAGTTAACTAATTGGATGTGAGGGATGAGAGGGAACAAGTGGAAAGTTGACTTCAGATTTCTGGCATGGGCACCTGAGTGATGTTGTTCTTATTCATTAAGATAGTAAATAGAAGGAGAACAAATAGGCAGCTGAAGTCTTTGTTCATTGCGTTGAATTTGAAATAATGACAACAGATGATAAGTAAATTGAAATGATCTCAGGAGGTAGATCTGGGAGACCCAGTGTTTATGTGAAAGTTGAAACTACGGTTGTGAATAAGATGGGCCAGTGTGAAGAGACTAGAGCTGTGAATTGAATTCTGAGAAATACCTACAAGGAAAGGCATGAATCATTATATGAGTCATTAAAATATATGTTTAGCATATATAGTTACTTATTTTTAAAAAGTATCTTTATATATCAGTAGAGTCCATTATTAAATCGAAATGCAAAAAGTCTGCAACAAAAAATTACTTGGAACTGATAGTAAGATAATGGTGATAGCCTAACGTCTGCCTATAATACATCTAAGCCATCTTAAATACATGTATATTGGATGAGGGCATGTACATATATACCTAAGTAAATAACATTTCAACAGCATAAACAAATGAGCTATAAAAGTCTCTCCTTGAATAGGAATCATTTCACAGCTCAGGAATACAGGCCTAGAAAAGTATCTTCAATTATCTAGTACAGCTCTAATGAACCTGGAGGTGTTGATGGCTTGTCTAAATCACAGGCCTAGTTGGTGGCAGAATTAGGTCTAAAGCTCCCCGACCAGTGTTCTTTAGTTTATGTCAATAAAGCATAAAACTGTACTATTAATAGTACAGCAGTTTAAAAAAAAACAGATATGCAAAATATCTGTGATATGCATGTTTTACTATGAATCCTGTTTTTAGATAATGAAGGTAGCAATTTGCTATATTATTTCGCTATGATTTTTTTAATAGGTGGAAACATATTTTAAGTGTTCTAAAATGACCCCAATTCATTATTTTTCTCCTTTGTGTAGCATAGTGAATGGAATTGGCAAATTGTATCTTAAATTTCCCCTGAGTATGACAGCTTTGAATACTCTACCACTTGCTTAGTGGTTCCTCTACCACAAATCACTAATAAAACCTTAAAAACCCTTGAATGAACTTTATAATTTAATCTGAAATTTTCATCTAAACAACAAGTATTGCCCTGACCAGTTTGGCTCAGTGGATAGAGCGCCGGCCTGCAGACTGAAGGGTCCAAGGTTCGATTCCGGTAAAGAGCATGTACCTTGGTTGTGGGCACATCCCCAGTAGGAGGTGTTCAGGAGGCAGCTGATCAATGTTTCTCTTTCATCGATGTTTCTAACTCTCTATCCCTCTCCCTTCCTCTCTGCAACCTATAAGTATTTAATAATATATGTATGTATATATGTTTCTTATTTAGTATACATATATTTGTCATATATAGTTGCTTATGCTTTCCACAGTGAGGGGGAAAATTATTGTGTTTTTTTTAAAATATATTTTATTGATTTTTTACAGAGAGGAAGGGAGAGAGATAGAGAGTTAGAAACATCGATCAGCTGCCTCCTGCACACCTCCTACTGGGGATGTGCCTGCAACCAAGGTATATGCCCTTGACCGGAATCGAACCTGGGACCCTTCAGTCCGCAGGCTGACGCTCTATCCACTGAGCCAAACCGGTTTTGGCGAAAATTATATTTTGTGAGACAAAACATTTGAGAGTTTCAGGATGCCTTTTGATTATCATAATGCCATGGAAGATTTTAAATTGTATATAGTATTTTTGACGCAAGTCACTTTTTTACCTGTAAAACAAAAGGTTTCCTAACTAATGTGTTGCCAGGGAAAGAGGAACCTCACTGGTGTTTTCACCATCATCAATGATTTTCTTGTATTGTTTTACCAGTTAAAGAATATTATCTTACTAGAGGCCTGATGCACGAAATTTGTGCAAGAGTAGGCCTTCCTTCCCCTGGCTGCCGGCACCGGCTTCCCTCTGGCACCTGGGACCCGGGCTTCCCTCTGCCCGGCTTTGTCCGGAAGGACATCCTGTCTAATTAGTATATTACCCTTTTATTATTATAGATGGAACAGGTTTTTATTTTATTTTTCCAGCTAATTTTGAACCTTTTTGATAAATTACATTTATTTTATCTTTCTGTGAACAGAGGAGCCAAAGTATTGATGCTTTGCAGAGTAATTTTTCAACTGATGAGAAAGTAATACAGAATTATTTATGAAGACATGATTTAAGATTAATCATTAATATTTATTGAGCACTTGCTACATGATAGGCAATGTATTCATTGCTTTAAGTGCACTATTTCACTTCTTCTTAACTATAAAGTTTATACTGTTCCTGTTCCCATTGTACATATGAGGAAACTGAAAGGCACTGAGGGCATAATAACTTGCCCACAATCACACACATAGCTGGTAAGTGGTTGGACCCAGGTTTGAATTCAGCTGTGTTTTCTCTAAATCTCATTTTTTGAATCATAAAATGCAATAAACTGCCTCTTGAGCTTTTTGAAGGTACATGGTAAATCTCACAGATGCTCTGAACTGAGGAAATGATCTTTTATGAAGTACTCATGCTTAACTGTAGTGAATTGTACTACAGAGAACTCCAAAGGACTATCTAAATTCTTTTGATGACTTGGGCTTTTTTACGTTATATTAATGCCTAAAATATTAGTATTTCTTGAAGTAAGTGAACTATTTGCTTGGAAATTGTTCCATTTGAGTTGATATAAGGATTGATAAATATGCTTTGAAACAAAGGAAGCTGTTGTCATAGATATTTAAGTTGTGTTTAAATTGAATTTAAAGATGGTTATTTGTGAGCACTTTGAAAAACAAAATTTTAGTTCCTAATTTAAGATAGAAAATTGCAAATTATATATTTTTTAAATAAATTGTGGTATATCAAAAGATCAGGAGATTGAAAGATCTGCTTTTTAGATCTTATTTTGCCACTTATTTACCCAGTGTCTTTGAGAGTCACCTAACCTCTACCCGTAAGCTTCAATTTGTTCATCTGTAAAAAAAAACCCCTAATTTCAGAGATGGTACTAACTCTGTTAAGGTAGAGCACTGGTCTGATAATTACCTGAATTGCTTTGTAAACTACTGATTTAAAGCATTTGACATTATTGCCAGATCGTTTATGCTCAGAAGCAAAAGTTGTTGTCTGTTTTAATCACTATATAGATTCTTGAGTGGTCTTGGGGTATGTAGAATTAGTTCAGTGGATTCATTGTATTGAATGTTTCCATTGAGAAATATTCTCTATAAATTAGTATATAAGAGACTTTATGAATTCAAGAGCCCCAGATTAAGTCTTCAAATGAAAGCTTTTCTTTATCAAATTCTTATGTCCAGTGTGTTATTTTTGCTGATATCTGTGGAATGTTACCCTTTATTTCATGAGGTAGTAAATGACAATGTAAACTAACTTACTCTTTGGATTGATAAAAGTCTACTTAAAAAAGTGAAACTAAGATGGCGGCATAGATAAACACCGGGAAATTGCTGCTTCCCACAACAATCGATAAATGCATCAAAAACACAAGGTGGACATCATCCAGAACTACAGGAGGGCTGGCTGAGTGTAAATTCTACAACTAGAAGGAAAGAAAAGCACACTGCGAGCGGGAGGAGCTGCGGAGGTGGAGTGCAGAGGTACGGGGGCTCGGGCGCGGAAAGGGTCTGGCACCTGAGGACGCGGCTGTCTTTTTGAATCCGGAGGGAGACACAAGCTCCCGACGGCTCTGAAATCCGGTTCCGGGAAGTCTCTGGGGACCCAGGACTCATACGGGGAGATACTGGACTGTCTGGCAGCGGGCGAGCTTGAGAGCGGCTTTCCCTCAGAGGTGCTTGCAGCCATTGCCGGGACACTGGGACTCGCGACTCCTTAGGGCAGGGCTGAGGCTCCGCCATAGCTGCTTTCTCCGCCCTTTGATTTCTTGAAACCCCACCCCGCCCAGGCTGCGGCAGAGGCTTTTGCATATGAATGCCCCGGCCATTTGCAA